TCCAAACCCGGAGCTCTTACTGGAAGTGGGATTTCTGGAACTCCCTTCTACACTGGCTGTTTGGCACGTGCATGGAATGCTAGGGTCGGGGGCTGCCTGGCAAAACGTCAGCTCAGAAACTTCTCTTCTCCGTCCCACAAAACTGCAAGCCAACCACATCCTCTCCTAGAGCTAAGGGACAACGGGCATCACTCCTGAATGCAAATCTCAGAAAGAGTAGTACGAAAGTGGTTATGGTTTGTCAGTCAGGAAGTCCTTGAAAACTAGACCGTCCGATGGTTTCTGCCCTTACAGGACGGGGACAGCGGGTCCTCAGGGCTCCGCTGTATGCCACACCCAGCCCTCGATCCGCAGGAGGTGAGGTTTGGGAAGCAGAGCATCATCCCAGGTGAGATTGGGCCCTAAAACCCTTGTTTAGATGGCAGCTGCCTGGTCAGCCATGTGGCAAACCCATTCTGACCCTACAAATGCCAGCTAGCTGCCACATACCAGTCCCCACCCAGCCCCCACTGACCAGGGCGCATACTCACTGACGTCACTTCCTTTCCCCTTTCGCCCACCAGCCTGTGGTTCAAGCTCAAGTTCAAAACAGGGCGCAGGCACCCCTTCATGGAAGTTCACGGTCAGTGTTGCAGTGCAGGCTCATGTTCCCATCACTAAGCCTGAATCACAGTCCCTGCAATCTGCCCCTGGGGGTATCTGATGCACACAGGAGTCTCAGAAGCCCTGGCGATTTAAGGGGGGCACACGCACCTCATTGCTTCTACGTGGCTCTAAGTCACATCACCCACAGCACCTACTCTCACTCCTTTCTCCACAAGCCATGTGCACAGTAGGTTTGCAAAGGCTGTTCACTGAATAAGTGTTTGCTAACAAGCGGCAGCCACCACGAGCTGCACTGTGCCAGGCAGGAGAAGGCAGGAATGACCTGCCATCGTTGTCCCTGCAAAATCAGACACAGCGACTGATCACCGTGAACGGCCCCAGCAAGGGCGCTGGCGGGCGCGCCTGATGGGGGGCAGCGGCTGGTGCAGTTCAAGAACTCCACTGCGGGAGAAAGCGGCAGCGACAGAGAAGGGCACACAAAGACCCAGCTGCCCGCAACATGAATAGCCTGGCAGGGCGATCCCATCAGGACCCACGGAGAATACAGATCAGAGGGAGGTGGGGAATCGGACCTGCGCCAGGACCTGGACGGTGCTCACCGTAACCCATTTCCAACTCCCCTTTCCTTTGCTTACCCTGCCTCTCTCCCTTCCCCAAGCCTCAAGTTATGCAAACACAACCTGAGAGCTGTCAGACAGAAAGAATCAGCCCTGTGTGAGGATGGAGGGCCGGTCCCGACGCTGGCCCTGCAGCTGGGCCTGGGCTACATGGTGCTCATTATTCCTGGCAGGCGTGAGCCCCAGAGAGCCCTGCAGCTGGCACTTCGTGAGCTAAGTCATTCGCAGGAACCAGCCAGGAAACACTGCACTTTGTTCGCGGGGACGATCGGGAAAAGTTGGGGGAGGTGTGGGGATTGAAACAGAAATATCAAGGTTCAAAATCTAACCTGTGTTTGTTTTTCTGTTTTGAACAAAATACGACTCAACATCAATGCCACACCGTCCGTGAGAATTAAAAGCTATAACTGCAGTACGTTTACAGTGAAAACTTAAATGTATAAAGCGTGTCAAAGCCCACAATTGAGCAATGATACATTGGAGGTTTTCGCCCTTCAAAGAAAAGCATAAAGCTGCAAAGCAACTCAAGAGGTTTTGGCCCAGATCCCCGATTCCAGGCTTGCAATGATCTACGCCTGGAATCTCCTCTGGAAGATTTCTAGGGATGGAGAGTTCATCAATCGTGTCTGGCCCTGTGGGATGTGGTTTTCACCCTGGAGGCAGAAGTTCTTGTTCCGGCTGAACTAGTTGCAGATCTCTGTCTGCTAGCCCCGCAGCCCACGCCGGGGCCAGCCTCGCTCTCCGTGGCCTGCACTTCTGATCCCCTTCTAGTGCTCTCAACATCCTTTCAGAAGTAAAATAAATGCCCATGACCTGAGGCAGCACACAGAAAATAAAATCACACCATGCATCTTGAACCTATACTCCTTTTCCGAAAAATGATGGCTTTCATTCGCCTACTAAATTTCTCTCTCATAGTCAGTGTGTATGTATGTACACACACACACACACACACACACCCCTCTTTCATATCTGGACTGGATTGTTAAATATTTTTACTCTGTAACTGCATTTGTCCCTCCCATTTAAACACCCTAAAGATTTTATCAAGCTAAAGTCTTCTCCTCACACTCGTCCCTAACTGACTTCCTCTGGCTTTTGAGGGACTATTTTCCAAATTCACAATGACTTTAGGAAATCTCTAAAGATGTAAAGCCCAATTTGATCTCATATCACTTTTAACTTTAGTGAGTATTTCTACAATTCCTTTACATCATCAAGTCGCCAACAGACCTGAATGCAACGTGACCCGAGGCCAGTTCTGCAGCTCTACTCTCTCCCGTTACAGGAGTCCCTGGAGACTGCACTTGGGCAGCCGGAAGCTCACCTCCACAGGGGTACCATCTACAACCACTTTTTGTGGAATTTTGTGGAATTGCTGAGTCATAAGGAAGATCCATTTTTAAGTTTTTGAGGACCCTCCATATTTTTTATCATAGTGGCTGCACCAATCTGCATTCCTATCCATAGTGCACAATACAAAAGCTGCAGTACATATATACAGTGGAATATTACTTGGCTGTAAAAAAGGATAGACCTAGAGGGTATTATGCTCCGTGAAATAAGTTAGTCAAAGAAAGGTAAATACCATATGCTTTCACTTACATGTGGGATCTAAAGTACAAAATAAACAAACAAAACAAACAGACTCATAGATTCAGAGGACAAACTGACAGCTGTCAGAGGGGAGGGGGCTGGGGGACTGGGCGCAAAAGGTGAAGGGATTGAGAAGTATAGATTGGCAGTTACAAAATAGTCATGGGGATGTACAGTACAGCCTAGGAAATATAGGCAATAATACCATAATAACTATGTATGGTGCCAGGTGGGTACTGGAAATACCAGGGGGAGCACTTTGTAGAGTGTATGATTCTCTAACTGCTACACTGTGCACCAGAAATTAATACAAAATAATAGGGAATGGAAACTGTCATTGAAAAACAAAATTTAACAAAAAATAAAAATAAACCAAATTTTTTTTTTTAATGAACCCATATAACTCCGTTGCTTAGATTCCTCTGATGGTTCCTTCCAGTGACTAGAACACCAGCTCCCTGTCATGACAACGAAGCTCTCTGTCGAGGACCCCAGCACTCACCACACGTCCCCGCCTCCACTGGCCCCTTGCTCTTCATTCTAAAACACCCGATACAAGTCCACCTCTGGGAATCAGCACTTTCTGTTCCCCCTGCCGAAAAGATTCTTCCCAAGTTCTTCCCAGACGGGCTTTCTCACCAGCCGATGCTTGTTGACCTGTGTTCTCTCCTCCCCCCTTCCCAACTAGCAGTTAAGCCCATAAAGATGCTGCTGGGTGCTGTTCCCAGGGCCCCCAGTGTTGGGCAGCAGTGAGCACCCACTGAGTGTCTGCGGAATGAATGGATGTGTGTGAGGTTCTGCGCTCATCACCATCACTCAGGTGGCTGTAGGCGCCCATGTGACCACAGCTTGCAAGAACCGGGGAGGGGACAGAACTCTGACAGGAAAGATCAATGGAAAAGCAGTGACGAAAGGGGCGTATCTCCAACAGTATACAAACAATCCACGTGCAAACGAGCATTTTCTTGCCCCTCCAGACTCAAAACAAATCTCTGATGACAAAATATGTGTGAAATAGTTTCTTTGTTATTTCCACACCAACTCCTACACTCGTCAACTCACATAAAAAAGAACCACGAATAAAAGAACCCCAAAACACACCAAAGTTATACATTTCATTCAACTTTCTTTCCATGTCCGTGTTACAGGTTATATAAACAAATAATGTTTTTAACGGATTCCAGGGGATGAATATAGCATAAATTTTGAGAGCTGAAGCAAAATAAAAATACAAAATTACCCCCAGAAGACTCATAGGGTACAACTGTTGAGAAACGTGTTTTGTTCCTTACGTGTTAAGATGTATGTGTCTTATTCAGATGGCAAATACAAAGGGAGGAATTATCATTACGATTATGGACAGAATTTTTTTGTGAAGTTCCCCAGAGCTATAAAAAATATGGCAAGAACACCATTTTATTTACATTTCCGTAAATTTATTTCTTTAACCTTACTCCCAAATTATGAAGAGTGCTATATCATTAAAAATAAATAAAGCGGATATGAATTCATACAACCATCACTCTATGAGCTTATTTTGTTTGTATAATAAAAGAATAGTTTTATTCTTTTTTTTTTAATCCTCACCCGAGGACATTTTTCCATCTTTTTGTTCAGGTAGAGTGGGAGGGAGAGAGAGGAACAGAGAGAGAGAGAGAAACATCGACGTGAAAGGAACACATCGAGTGGCTGCCACCCGCACGACCAACCAGGGCCGGGGACAAACTGCAACCGAGGTACGTGCCCTTAGAGGGAACCGAACCCGGGTCTCTCTGGACCGCAGGCCGATGCTCTAACCGCTGAGCCAAACCGGCCAGGGCAATAGTTTTATTCTTTAAATATGTTACCAATGCGGCCCTGGTCGGTTTGGCTCAGCAGTAGAGCATCGGCCCGTGGACCAATGAGTCATGGGTTCGATTCTGGCCAAGGGCACGTACCTCTGTTGCGGTTCGTCCCCAGCAGAAGGCAACCAGTCGATGTGTCTCTTTCACATCAATGTTTCTCTCTCTCTCCATCTCTTCCTCCCTCCTACTCTATCTGAAGATAAATGGAAAAATATCCTCGGGTGAAGATAAAAAAAAATAATAAAAATTAAAATGTCACCAATGCGAAGCAAGTGTCCTGCTGTGAGTCCTTTGATCTGTCCCACGGGAGGGTCCGTGCTGGCCTCGTGCCACCTACCTTGCAGCCGGCGTGAGTCCTGCTCTTCATCAGGGGCGTGGTGGTGCACAGCTCGATGGCCTCGGGCTCGTGGAAGATGACCGCGGGCAGGGGCTCCTTCTTCAGTGTTAGGACGTTCAATTTCGACTTCAGCATGGTCTGAAAGTGCTGAAAAGCAGGAAAAAGATAAGCCAACTGCAGTTAAATCATTTGGAACTGCACGTGGTACAAATACATAAAGCCCAATGGCAAAATCTGTGTTTCATCACCTCAGCCTTCGCAGAGGAGGCCGAGAGATAGCAGGATGGGGGGACCCTGTCCGGGCACTGCTGTCGTGAAACTAGGGGGGACGGCCAACCCTGACACAGACACCATGAGAACGTGGGGGGGGGGAGTCACCCCCGACCTGTTCTCAAACGGTGCTCCACGGGGAGACATACAGATGAAGGCCTAGAGAGGTAACCCACGCTGAATTTAACTCGAGAAGGAGGCTCTTCGAAAGAGGGTGCTACCGGAGCAATTGGGGGGAAAGTTCAGAGATCACGGAAAAGGGAAAACAATGATGAGAAAGAACTGATGCGGGCCTCTGCCTGCCGCTCTGCTCCGCCCCGGCTGCAGGAAACGCACCAGTTCCCAACGAGCCACCTGCTGCCCCGGGCCGGGCGCAAGGAACATCCAGTCCCTGCGCAGCCGCTCTTGGCACTGGCTCCGAAGCGCGCGGGACCGGAGCACGTTTCATCACCGCTCCCCACGCACGCGGTCCAGCCCATCTCTGTGTCGTCCAGCAGCTTCCAAGCTGGCCCCACCACTTCCGGCCCCCCCTGCGCGAAGCAGGGCCCACGGTGCCAGAGGGGTCCTCCTAAAACCGAATCACGTGTCATCCCGCCAAAACGCTCCAGCCTTCCCCTCTTCTCGCCGAAAATTCCAAGACCTTGGCCTCCAGCCCGCCAGGGACCCACTGCCTCTCTGACGTCATCTCCAGCCTCCCCCTCTCCCGTGCTTAGGTCCAGCCACAGTGGCCTCCTTACTCTCTGAGAATAAGCCAAAGACACGTGTGCCTTGGAACCTCTGAACATGCGACTCTTGCCCTCGGTATCTGCAAGCCTTGATGTTTGGGGACCCTGATCAAATGTCACCTACAAGACAGCTCTTCCTTGTCGGCGTCATCTAAAACAGCATACATACACACACCACGAACACACGTGCACATACTTCATGGACATGTGTGATCACACAGGGTCTCAGGCTCAGGAGGGCCCTGTGGTTATCTAATGTTCCTGGTATAAAACCCACAATGGCTATTTCAGAAAGATTCACAGAAGAAATCCTTAATCACTTTCTCTCTGAACTTGTGTTTTGTGAGCTCAGTCTGACGGAGCAGCAGAGTCCCTGTGAGTGAAGGGGTCTGGGACAGAAACGTGGGTCATGAGAGGGAGAGCCGAAGTTGGTTTGCTGATGAAGAAGAAAAAGGGAAAGCGATTCAGAAGAGAGATCCTGAGCTGCTGGGGACACGGCCCCCTGTCTGCTGTTCTGCTGGGGGTCTACGGTGGCCTCCTGCTTCCCGGACCTCAGTTTCCTCTTCTGTCAACTTTAAAACGCTGTGTTATGTCACATCAAAATTGACATCGCTGTTCCTTGCAGGACAAACAAGTACAATAGACAATGCAACAGTAAAACATCAGAATCCAGCAGAATGACTTCAAAGGCCATAACAGAGGGACCCCGTGGGGAGCTTGGAAAAGCCTCTGCTCCCACAGGGAAGGTGCACAGAGGTCCGTGAAGGAGATGTGTTCTTCATTCTTGCAGAAGGAAAGTGAATAGCGTTGTAGAAAATTAGGGCAGTGCTCCGGACAAACTAAACAAAGCTCGGCTTTCTGCATTTGCTGCTTCCCCCCGTGATCTTAAAATAGAGTGTCGAAATCACCCCCAGACGCAGGCGGGGTGATGGCCGGCCCCGTGTAATTTACAGTTGGCGCGTCCGACTCTGATTCAGACATTAATCTCTGACACTTTAGTGGGCCAGGATTTACATATTTTACCAATTCAAATTGGGTGGATCTCACCTTTACATTGATTCTGTATCTAAAATATAAAGCATCATTGGAAGCCAAATGCTGCTGCTGCTTCCCCCAAAATAACTGGGCCACTATCCTCACTCAAATGAAAAGCAAGGCGTTAAGGGGTAATCCCTGGGTCATCCTTACATTTTGAAGACTGGTTACAAGGGTCAGTTTTAACTTGCAAATTACTGAGTCAGTCATGCCCTGATCACACTTCAACACTGCAAAATCTCTCCTTAAGAGAACCATGAGGAAACTGGGTGAAATTAATGGAAAACTTCTGGTCCCCAGACAACTGCTGATTTATACAAGTGCCCAAAAACCAGTCAGGCGGCCACATTTTTTCACAATCACACTTCATCCTGTTACTTTGGGGGTTAGCAAGAATTCACTCAGTTGTACCTTCATAACATTTCATAGCACTTACTTTTCTAGAAGGTATATTCCTGCCCCACACATGAGAACAGAATAATTTTGATACTCTTCTGGTAAGATCTTTCACTTATCATTTTTAATGTAAATTCTTAGATTTCTGCTTTTAAATCATTATTCTAGCATTTTCACACACACACACACACACACTCACTCACTCACACACAGTGGAATAAACAGTAAGAGTGAATAAAAGAGGGCGTCCAGTCAAGGTGGCAATGCAGGTAAATGCTGTGCTTGTCTCCTCCCATGACCACATCAAAAATGCGACAAAACACCTGTCCTGTGTGGCTCAGTGGCTGAGCGTTGACCCTGCACCAAGAGGTCACTGGTTCAGTTCCCGCTCAGGGCACATGCCCAGGTTGTGGGCCTGGTCCCCAAGGAGGGGAGGCAGGAGGCCGACAATTGATGTTCTCTTTCATCAATGTTTCTATCTCTTTCTTCCTCTCCCTTCTTCTCTCTCTAAAAAAATAAAACATAAAAATATATATATATTTGTAAAAATATAAAAATATATTTATATAAATAAATATATATTTATAAGTATAAATATATATATATATATATATATATATGCAACAAAACTACAGAACAACCATCACCGAGAGCTGCCTGAAATCTAGCTGAACAGAAGTCTTACAACTAAGGACAGACAGAGGAAGTCACACTGAGAGATTGGTAGGACACGTGGAGACGAGGACCTGGTTGGTCCCACACCCATGTTGGAGGTTAGAAATCGGGAGAAATATCTAGCCTTCTCAGGGTAATCACTTCAAAAGTTATATAAACATCTAATCACTATGTTGTAGACCTGAACCTAATATAATATTGTATGTCAACTGTAATTGAAAAATAAAAAATTTTAAAAACAATTCAAGAGGGAGTAAAATATTATAGTTGATTAAATTCAACTTTTGTCTACATATGTTTCAATACAAAAGGTTTTGATTATTTGTTTTTGTCCTTTTTAAAAGTAAAGCAAGGTTGAATAGTCTTCCCAAATCTAGCAGGCTTATACAAAATTGCACTATTTGATTTCAAGGATTAATTTTTTAATTACAGTGTATGTGGATCTGTTATTCCAAGAAAAGGAGGACCTGCACTTACTTGGCATTTGCCTTATGGCTGCAAATGATCCTACTAACTGCCTTATTCAGAAAGTTCCAGCTTAATTTTAAAAGCCTAAATCCAGACACTTAGAAGTTTAAAAGACTGTCTATATTTATTAAGGTGATAGCTATTATTAAACTAACTGAAAATACTCATGTTCACACACCCACACTTATTCATGCAGTTTTAATTATGGAAGCATTTCTTTTGAATATCACACATCCTCTGGCGAGATTGTGTGGGAGGGGCACAAAATAACTCTATGCCCACAGCGTAGGCAAAAAGCCCCCAAGGCTTCCGAAAGGCTCCCTCAGGGCAGAGTATGTGTCTGTGTATACATACTCATTTATTTTTGTAAGTGATCTGAAATACACACACACTTGCTATATTCCTTTCATTTGTTTCTGTCATCTGCCAAACACTTTTTCGATATGTTAACAGCTAAAGTATTGTAAAACACAGATTACAAACCCTCAACTCAAAGGCACATTTGGCCTGTTAATATTTTATTTGATTTGCAGAGTGTTTAATTTGAAGAGTATTCAAATATTGGGGTATATATGATTAAAATTTGTATTTCCACTTCTCTAGATAGATCGAAAGATCTGCAAAAGCAACTTGCTCTCATGGCAACAATTAGCTCTGGTCAGTCATGCAATTGCCCATGTTTACTTAGATGGTTTCCTCTGCAATTCACCAGGGTCCCTCTTTCCCCAGCTGTCAGTATTCTTTTCTGCACTAAACACAAGTGACTATTTTTATAGTCATTTCATGTGATACCAACTTTGCTCCTGTACTCTGCTTGTTTGACCCTTATAGGTATTTGAATTGCAACCCCGATGTAAAATGACAAATCCTAGGAGGTCAAAACAAAAATTTCACCCACTCACACACACAGAAAAAGTTACATGCAGCTAAGTTAATTAATACCAATATATATTTATATTTTTATTGAATTTATTGGTGTGATCGGTTAATAAAATCATACAGGTTTTAAGTATACAGCTCTATAACATATCTGCATACAGCACTGTGGACTTACCACCCAAATTCACACCAATATTTAAATTATAAAAACTCAGCTAAAAGAGTGTGAATGAATGAGTGAATACAAGAGAGAAGTAATAATATAAATAGGCTAACGTGTCTGTCTGTCACTCCACATAATTCATATGGGCCAGGAATTAGGAATCTATTCTTCTCTGTGTAAAGTATTCTCGCACGCCCTTGTTGCACTGCATATAATTAAATTGCTGGAGATCTTTATTTTCAACTTCCACTTTCAATTGAAATGGAGTAACAGGCACCAAATTGACAATGACATTAATAAAAACCAAATAAACTGGGGAAAAGAATACGAAACAACAGTTTGTGAGACACTGGGTATCAGGCAATGAAAGATGCCAATCCCTGAAAGATGAGACAAATGACATAAAGTGCACAATTGTCCAGCTATGAACTTGAAGGAGTTTGCAGGCTGCAGTGCAGGAAAGAGAAACACAGAAATGACCCAGCAGAGACCCAGAGCTAAGGACAGAGATGAATGCCTGGAAAAACAAAAAAGAG